ACTCTACGCAGTAAAGTTATCATTTAGAATTAAAGGTCAGATAAAGAGCTTCACAGACAAGAAAAAGCTAAAGGAGTTCATCACCACCAAACCAGTATTATATGAAAGGTTGAAGCGTTTTCTTTAAGAGAGGAAGAAGAACAAGAAAAAGATAAAAAATATGAACAACAAAATGGCAACAAACACATATCTATCAACAATTGAATCTAAATATCAAATTAAACAAATTAGCAATCTAATGAACAGAATAAACTGGTGAATAAAATAGAATCAGAGCCATGGAAATGGAACAGACTGACAATTCTCAGTAGGAAGGGGGTGGGGCAAGAAGAGATTAAACAAAGATTTTATATGCATATATGCATTACCTATGGACACAGACAACAGGGTGGCCAAGGCCTGGGGTGGAGTGGGAACCGGGTGGAGAGGGCTATGGGGAGAGGGACATCTGTAATAATCTCAAATAATGAAGATTTTTAAAAAAAAAAAAAATACGCTTTTTCTCCACCAGAGTTAGGCTAGGCCTGCAGGTCTGTGGCGAGCCGCGGCCGTGGGTCTCTCTTCCGCAGGATGGGGTTTGTGAAAGTTGTCAAGAATAAGGCCTACTTCAAGCAGTACCAAGTGAAATTCAGAAGACGGCGAGAGGGTAAAACCGATTACTATGCCCGGAAACGCTTGGTCATCCAGGATAAAAACAAGTACAACACCCCGAAGTACAGGATGATCGTCCGCGTCACCAACCGAGACATCATCTGTCAGATCGCTTATGCCCGTATAGAAGGAGATATGATAGTTTGTGCAGCTTATGCTCATGAACTCCCCAAGTACGGTGTGAAGGTTGGCCTGACAAATTATGCTGCAGCATATTGTACTGGCCTGCTGCTGGCCCGCAGGGTATGTACAGGATTACTTTATAGTTGATGTATCTTGGAATTAATTCATCGCTTGGAGTTGTCTGAAAGAGATGTTTACACATGGATAAGATACCCTCAGCTGTTGGGTCAGGAGAGTGCCTGGTGTTACCCTGCGGCTTACAAGAGCATCATTAGGAAAGATATTTTTATAAATACAAGCTTTGAGACAGCAGTGCATTTCCTAATAATTTGGGGGAACAGTTTTCCTGGTTTCTGCCCTGTTGTTGGGTATATCTAAACCAATAGAATTTCCTGCAGTCTCTTGTCTGATGTAAAGCCAGTGGTAGCTAGCAGCCACATGTGGTTGTTGAGCACTTGAAATGCTTCCAGTGCTACTGATGAACTGAATTTTTAACTTAAATTTGAATAGCCACTTGTAGTTCCTTAGTGGCTACCTTGTTGGACAGATCTACTCAGAAATGATCTTCTGACCAAAAGTGTACATTAAAAAATGCGGACTACTCCAGACCTTCAGAATTTGTTTTAATAGGATGTCCAAGTGATTTATATGCACGTTAAATTTTGAGAGCAATGTTTTAAACTTGGGAGGCGGTGTTAGTGTGTGTGTGTGGGCGGGGGAGGGGGGTTGTTTTAATCATCTTTGCCTTTGGTTGGCAGCATTTCTTATAACTTGCAGAAAAGATGAAAATGTGACTTTGCCTTATTTTTTCTCAGTTGCTGACCTTGTTTTTCTTCCTAAAA